TGAATAAGGAGACACGTGGGTTCGTTTTTGACATTTTTATTGGTATGTTTGGAACCTCCTCATTTTATTTTGGGGTGTTGCTTGAGGTGGTAATATGATGGTAAAGTAAGATTGGACCAAAAACTTTAATTCGAATAATTCGTCTACGATCAGCCGGCACTCTTTTGCCTTTTTCTTTTTCCACACTTTGAATTTGGATGTGAGGTTAGAACCATTGGAAAGCTTATCTCCGGGGCTTCAATTTGACCACAAGAATGACCTAAAACGGAATCCGGATGAGAGAGTTATACCTGTTTGAAGTTTTCACATCTGTGTTGGAAGCAGGTCCGCACGTGCGGGGATATCGGCGCACGTGCGGGACTGTGCGGGACAGCAGCTCAAAAACGTGATTTTTGAACCATTTCTTACATTTTCTTTTCCTCTCTTCTTCTCCCCTCCTCCATGTCCGAAACCCTAGCCCGCAAAACCTTGATTTCCTCCACTTTTATCAACAATATACCATGGTTCTTGCATTAAGGATGGAGGACAAGAGAAGATCAACATTTTCTACCGATTGGATTTCGAAATTTTGGAGGAATCTCATCAAGCTTGCTTGATTCTTGAGGTATGGAATCTTGGGAGTTAAATTGATGGGTTTAAATGGTGAATCATGAATCCTAGGTGTTTAATCAATGGGAAAATGGGAATAAAAAGTAATGGGTTAATAAGTTTGAATTTGTCTTGAAATTTCAATATTTTCTTGAAACCCTAGGTTGATTAATGATGATAACCAATGATTTGGCCCAAATTGAAAGTAAAATAATGAAATTGAGATATTGAATTATATATGTACAAGTTTAATTGGAATTTGGAAATGTTTGAAAATTATGTTTAAAATTTGCGAATGAACTTTGTTATGAACGTTGTAATTCATGCTTTAATGTAAAGGAAAAATTGGAGAAATAATTTATTAAGGATATGGATGACATGAACTTGGTTGTGGAATGTTGAAATGGGATTCAAGGATTTAGTTTGAATTATGTTGAATTGCAAATTGATGCGTAATTGGTATAAAAAAAATTAAACAAGTTAAGAACGGAATAATTATATGTGACCCAATTTCTATGTGTATTATGAATTGTGTATGGTCAGCTACAGGGGCGGACCAAGCATTTGAACACTGTGAGTAGTAGTACGGTAGTCGTACATTCAATGATCGTTAATGATTCTTATTGTTAACATTCTATTTCTTGCAAGTATGTTGATTGGAAAATCTAAAGGCATTATTGCGCAATACATTTTATTATTGTTGACAAAGAATACTAACATTATGTGCAAGATATCTATAGTGATTCACGACGAACCAAGGGAACGTATAAGCATTATGGAATCATGGTATTCACGTATCTCTGAAATCATTCAATTTGTAAATGTGCTTATCTCTTATTAGTAATTATCAGGAACGTCCTGTTAAACTTAAGTTAACTCATGTGAATGATGTAACGGCTACCAGTAGTACTCTGCTAAGTACAAGTCAAATATGGTAACATATATGAACGAGCAAACAAAGGTGTATGCTTCTATATGTTATTAATAGATCAAGTGAACTACGCTATTTCTTAACGAATAATTAGCTAAGACCACGGATTGTTTTATACGTTAATACCTGCTAAGTATTATGATAAATAACGGATTGACTTACGGATGGCTCAACCCAAAGACAGAATTAAATATCGATGACCTTGTCATGTAACCCACATTATGATGTAACCTGTTCTGTCTTTGCTAAGTGTACTATAATGACATAATATAACAAGAAATGTTCTATGTTCTAATATGTTACGTGTTGACGTAATGAACAGTTGGCCATATATGTAAGGTATTCATGACATCCGTAGCACACGACCCTTACCTGGGGGTAATAATACCGTGTTTTCAAATATGTTACAAGTTCAAGTATGTTTTCAAGTATGTTACAAGTTTAAGTATGTTTTCAAGTATGTTACCAGTTCAAGTATGTTACAAGTATACGCATGTTACAAGTTCAAGTATGGTACAAGGTTATATATATTACAAGTTCAAGTATATACAAGTTTACGTATGTTACAAGTTTACAAGTTTAAGTCTGTTACAAGTTTATGTATGTTATAAGTTTAAGTCTGTTACAAGTTCACGTATGTTATAAGTTCAAGGATATTACAAGTTCTTAGTACCAAGGAACAAGAATGCTTTATATTGACTTGTTAGCACTATTGAAGTGCCAGGTATAATTAAGTTTGAATTCTGATTTTTGTTTATGAATTAAGCATAATGCATATGTATGAATTTGTTTCCGTTTATAATATGACATGATATGTATGGTTGGTCTAGAACAAAGTGCTACTTGGAACTAAGTGCTACATTGTGAGCCACCTCTAGAGTCCATGTGAGCCACCTCTTGAGTCTATACATATATGAATGAGGTTTATAGCCAATCTGGGCTTATGGCCATTCTATATGATCTATGAGGCTAGAGGCCATTCTGTATTTTCGGTATGGAACAAAGTGCTGTACGGAACTAAGTGCTGCAATGCGAGTCACCTCTAGAATCCGTTCACAAGCCACCTCTTGAGTCCATACATATGTTATGAGGCCTATGGCCATTCCGGATAAGTTATTATAATATGAAACAAAGTGCTACACGGAACTAAGTGCTACGATATGAGTCACCTCTAAAGTCCGTGTGAGACACCTCTTGAATTCATGCACATATGTTCAAGTGCTTTATGTCATATGTTCAAGGGCTTCATGCCATATGTACAAGGGCTATATGCCAACATGTTTAAAAGTTTAATGCTAAATATGTTCAAGGGCTATCGCCACTTTGTTCAAGGGCTTAAAGCCATTATGTTCCAAGATATTATGTTTCAAGTCAATATGTTTCAAGATTGGGCCTTTGGCCATTCAAGAATTAATACAGAATCAATTAACCTTATACCTCATTATTTATGTATGCAATGATATGTATTATAATTCAAGTTGAGCATTGAATCGTTTATGTACTATTATTCACCGAGCTTCGCTCACTTTATATTTTGTCTGTTCTGTAGGTAATCACTTTGGGAGTCCGTCTTAACCCTTGAAGCTCACCCTTCAGTTGTCAACCTCAGTATGCCCAGGCTCCTAGACCAAGTCTATGCATTTATGTCAAGTTTTGTTAAGATTTTGGCTTGCACTTTAATTATTTACCTAAGGTTAAAATGTATGTATATGACCCCTTTCTATACCAATGTTTGTTTATGCAGTCATGTATGTGTATGGGTATGTCTAAAAATAAATGACTCTCACGAATGTGATCCTGGCATGTTAGGTTTAGCTCAATGGATGCTTTTTATGTGTTATTTTATTATATTAAATGCTTCCGTTCAGGCCCCATATGATATGTATATCAGGTTAAGTGTCCGTTTCTGTATGGGTCATGCCCGAACTTTTAGGGGCGAGTTTGGGATGTGACAGATTAGTTAGGCTGATAGTTAAAATTTGTTAATTTCCTCCGAATCTTCCTGATCAAAACTCTATGGAATTAACAAATTTTAACCACCAGCCTAACTGTTGGCCCGTTTTTGCTTTCGAATGTTAGATTTGTAATTTAAGTGTGCTTGCAAGGATTAATAAGTCCTTACAGAAACATTTGATTGCCAACCAATTAACCAGACGATTGCTTCGAAGTTTTTTTAGCCTCAATGAAGAGGACTTTTACTGGTGGCTTGTTTTAGGAGAAAATTTAGAAAAAATAATTCATAAAAGTAATAGAAATAGGCAGAAACAGTGTTAGAAATTAATTTTACTAAGTAAACAAGAGTTTACAATAGTACCTTTGCACTTTCACAGCTTCGAAAGGGATTATATCAACAGACTACTTTAGAACTACTCCAAGGAAATTGAAGTGCAGTTTAGGAAGCAAAGAACTAAAAACAAAAGACTGGAAATGTAAATTAAAATAAACTAATTTCTGGATCTGGTTCAGGTGTCTTCCATTGTTAGCCTTCTCTTCTATTTATAAGCTTTGATGGTAACTGTTGAAGTGGCTGATAACCATCGAAGTAACCCCCATGATTTCTGAACATGGCTTCAAGCAGTTTGCCTCCACTAAGTCACTCATGAAGTTAGGTTTCCCTCATAAATTTGAATTTAAACTTTCCATAACCGTTTGGTCACGTCATCTTGCTTGCATTGCTTGTTCCAGTACTTTGCAGATCCATCGTTATTGTTGTAATCTGCCACACGTCTTCTAGTGATTGGAGACCTTCATTAATTTCCCAAATTACCCTTTACAAGTCATGTGTCATACTGCAATTGGCTTGTACAAAATATATAGCTAACACTAACTGATCAATCAATTTTGTCATCCAACTAGTCCAACCCAATTCACTTACCTTATTAAATCACATAAGCTGAGTTAGTGCGGGATGTCTAGTTTTTAAGCACACCCCTACACATAACCACTATTGCAAAAAAAAAAAAAAAAAAAAAAAAAAAAAAAAAAAAGCTCAAAAAAAAAACCATTTCGACCCATTGGAGCTTCGAAATTTCAAGGCCTCAAGCATTTCAGTAAATTTATTATCAAATTTAAATTTGATAAAAAAATTACTTTTTAATATTCTAACAGTTTATCAAATTCGATATCAAATCTAAAATTTTAATTTTTTTTTTATCAAACTCAAGATCAATATGTCTTCCATTCATCAAATCACAGTATTGTTATATTTTTATCATCAAATGTCTTCTAAACGTTCTTAAATGACCACCTCAAAATAAAAATTTATAAAAATATTATACTAACTAATCGATCGGCCAATCGTTCACCAGCAATTTGATAAAACTCTGTTAGAGTATTTGATATGAAAAGAAATTTTTACCTAATTTTTATTTAACTTTAGTGAAAAAATTGATGCAATGCTCTCACTGTCTTACACACAGATACATTACACTGTACACTGTAGTTTCAGATATATATAGAAAGGGAAAAAGAGCACTCTGCCCCATAAAAATAAAAATAAATAAAGGAGAAAAATTTGCATTCAGAAAATGACTTGTAACAGTTGTAGTAGTTCACCAATAGTTCTCTGTATTGTTCTCAAGACAAGAGTCAATTCAAATTCACATTAATTGTTGAGAATTGAGTTCCAATTTCATTTCTCTCTCTCTTACTTTCTCAGAATTCACAGGCTTTTTTGTAAACCCATTTTGTTAAGAGTTGAATTTTGAAAACTAGGGTTGGGTTATGCGCAATGGCATTGATTTGGGTTCTGTTACTTTGCTTGTTTTGACAGTTGGTTTGTGGGTTTTGTTGGGATTTTTGTAAGAACGCTTGGTGTTTAAGGTTAGAAAAAAATATGGGTTGGTGAGGGTGGTGAACCTGTTTGCCCCTCTCTCTCTCTCTCTCTCTCTCTTCAATATCAAGCCTTTTCTCTTTCCTAGGGTTTGGTAAGCTGTAAAACTAGCTTGAATTTCTTGCCTTTTCTTTAGGTTCTAAGCCTTTGAATTCAAACCCTTCCTCTTCCGCTTGTTTTAGCTTCTGCTTCTTTTCTTTTCCTTGCATTTACTTTTGTTTATGTATTTATCTATATTTCTGATCCCTATGTATTCTCATGTTTTGCCCAACAGTTTTTAAATATTTTATTTTAGATTTGTAGATTTCTAGCAACTGTATTCCAAGCATTCTCCTTAAAATATATATATATTTTTTCTATTTTATATTGAATTTTGTTCTATTTGTAGACTTGAATGAAGCTTCTTCACTTTGTACTATGAAGAACATGTGTTTGTTGTGTAGCCCCACTGAGTTCTTCCTCTAGTGCTGCTTTCATATCTCTTTCCTTTTAATAATTGCAGCATTTTGTTTATCAAAGTTCTGGCACATTGTGAAAACAGTGTTTGGTAGCAAGATTTTCAAGATTCTAGCACATTGTGAAAACAGTGTTTGGTATCTAAGAATTGGGTTTTGTCTTGTTTATCTCAAAGAAAGTTAAGAGTAGAGTGGGGACTTTGAATTTTTGATCAAAGACAGGTGAATTGGTTGAAATTGAGTTTTGGGTCAAATTTGGTTTCCAGGTAAAAGTTGAAGCTTTCAGGAGTAAATGTATGGATCGCAGGGAAGCTATGTCATTTTCAGGGTCTACTTATTACATGCAGAGAGGGATGCCTGAGTCAGGTTCGGGGGCTGGGGTACAGGGCTCACCGGGCATTCCATTATCTAATCTAAATGTATCATTTCAATCGAACATTGGGGGTAGTTCAATTGGATCAACAATGCCAATAGAGCCTTCATTGGCAATTTCACATCATGGGGTTGATGTGGGTTCACCGTCTGCTATGCCATCAACTGAGCGTGTAAGAAGAAAAAGAGGACGTCCTCGAAAATACGGGCCTGATGAGAGTCATGGGACTGTGGCATTGGCATTGTCTCCCACTTCATCTAATCCTCCGGTGACTACAACCCCGAACCAGAAGCGGGGTAGAGGACGGCCCCCGGGGACTGGGCGGAAGCAACAATTAGCTTCTCTTGGTAAGTATTTTTATAGTGATCTAAGAGAATTTCCAATTGTTCAATAGCCAAACGTCTACATATTGATATATTTTAGCAATAATAGTGTCAAAATGTTATGTTTTAGCAATGTTGATTTAATGGTGCAAATGTTATTTCTTCTATTTTTCTTTCAAAAAGTCAAATAGAAATGCTATGTGTGGGTTCCAGCACAAGAGCGTATAAACAAAAGGGCTTGTCAAATTTTAGCTATAGCTAAACCTTGTGTTAAATTTGGCACAAGGTGTAGTTAGCCATTGGAGAACCCAAAATTGAGTTTCATGCTATTTTTTAAGCAGTAGCAAGCCTTTTTGCATAGCATTGGTGAAGCATAGCCTTTTAGCATACATAGATTAACCATGATGAATAGGACTTGCAGATGGTTTTAGGCCAAGTTTGGCTAACCTAAAAAAGTGCACTTATTTCATCTTTTTATCTTTTTTGGATCACATCATTCAACATCTCCTCTCTACTTTTTCTACACATAATACAAAAAAAGTCAAAAAGTACACTTATTTAGTCTTCCCAAACTTGGCCTTAGTTAGGGGTTGTTTGGGGTGTCCTAAATAAGTGTATTTTTTTATCTTTTTGGATTAAAAAATTGAGGAAAAAAATATAGAT